CAGGATTTTTTTTATGTGGTGCAGACTGACCACACAGACCCATTCTCTCACATGTGGGCCTACCAGCTTTCTCCCGCTTGATTTGAAGCCGCTAGAATTATTGAGTATATATACGTCAGAAACATTGGCTCGTAAGACGTATTTATACGTCGAAAACAGTCAAAGGGTTAATATTATGGATTGCGAAAAAGATTTAGGAGTTCTGGTTAGTAGTAATCTGAAACCAAGACAACAGTGCATAAGTGTTTGCAATAAAGCTAATAGAATCCTTGGCTTCATATCAAGAAGCATGAATAATAGGAGTCCTCAGGTTGTTCTTCAACTCTATACATCCTTGGTTAGGCCTCATTTAGATTATGCTGCACAGTTTTGGTCACCGTATTACAGAATGGATATAAATGCTCTGGAAAATGTACAAAGGAGGATGACAAAGTTGATCCCATGTATCAGAAACCTTCCCTATGAGGATAGACTAAGGGCCCTGAATCTGCACTCTCTAGAAAGACGTAGAATTAGGGGGGATATGATTGAGGTGTATAAATGGAAGACAGGAATAAATAAAGGGATGTAAATAGTGTGCTGAAAATATCTAGCCTAGACAGGACTCGCAGCAATGGTTTTTTAAGTTGGAAAAATTTCAGATTCAGGAAGGATATAGGAAAGTACTGGTTTGGTAATAGAGTTGTGGATGAGTGGAACAAACTCCCAAGTACAGTTATAGAGGCCAGAACGTTGTGTAGCTTTAAAAATAGGTTGGATAAATACATGAGATGGATGTGGTGGGTGTGAGTTGGACCTGATAGCTTGTGCTACCAGTCCGGTTGCCGTGTTCCCTCTCTTAAGTCAATGTGGCCTGACCTGACTAGGTTGGGTTGCATTGGGCTTAAGCCGGTAGGAGATTTGGGAACCTGCCTCGCATGGGCCAGTAGGCCTGCTGCAATGTTACTTCGTTCTTATGTTCTTATGTATTGGACCTGCCCTCCAGGTTTTCTTATATATATATATAATATATATATAATATATATATATATAATATTATATATATATATATATATTATATAATATATATATATATATTTATATAGATATATATATATATATATATATATATAATATATATATTATATATAAAATATATATATATATATATATATATATATATATATAAATATATATATTTAATAAAATATATATTATATATAATATATATATAATATAAATATATATATATATATATAATATATATATATAAAATTTTATTTTTAAACAGTACAGAACTGTTAATAAAAAAAAATACAAGACCTATCCGGCAACAGATGTGATAACCTTCCATCGCCTAATGAACCACACACAACTCCGTGTGGATTCCAACACCACCACCCCTTTACCCCCCCTATTCTAAATCAAACAGCAACCTGCATTAATCTTACAGACATATTGACATATATACATTAATATAACAGTTGTCATGCTTGTCCACAAAGTGTATTAAACGACCACAAGACCGCTTGAACAGTGTACTAACAACAGTCATGGTTTAGAAATATATCACAACAAACAGTACATTGCTACAACATAAAAGACACGTAGCACACATAAGTAATTCACTACAGGAAAAGACACCTATTCCTAAAAATTATCCCCAACACAAACGTGTTTAAAGCCTCAACCCCCCCCCCCCCCCCTTGCATTTCCCACCCAAACCTATTCCCAACCAAACATACAAATTATACAGTAAAGAAAAAGAATATAACACCGTAACACATTGATACAGGACATGTATATACACAACCCATTTCACAAATATCCTCAAGTAATTACAAAGGGTCTATCCATGTACATACAAGAGGCCTCATAACAGCAGGTCCCTCACAACTAACACTACCAGTGTTTTTATGCATTGTGTATGCATAGGTATAAAATACATACCCAATACGTGACATAGAACATAAGGACGCTCCTCAAACCTCCACCATACAGACCCCACCCCATAATATTATACAACATAATAGTCCAAGATTCATACACACAGCAGCAGCATACGCCACCTCAATCACACCAGCGTACCTTAGGCGCACACAGGCGCAGGCAGCAACACCTCTAAACAGAACCTAACACTACTCATACTCCATAATTTGCAGACACATCTGAATAGCACATATCAAGTCACTTTCATCCTAACACTGGGCACATGCCCCTCAAGGCGCACGCTATCTGACGCTCCCAGACACACACGCCATTAACCGGCGCTGCCATCAAGCAGCAGACCTCACCACACCTTCCACGATGATTCCCGCCCCTATCTAAACCCCCCCCCTCGCACCTGGCTAAGGTTTCCTCCCTCGCTTCCCACTACTACTTTTGCTTGCCCACTTGGGCCCTGGGGCCACGTTTGCCACGCTCTCCACGCACGACACCCGTGCCACCTGGCACCACCTGCTGTCGCTGTTCACCTCCACTAGCGCACCGCCCCCCATCTACCGATGCTTTCTTCCCTGTTCGTTGAGCCGGTGTCAGGACGTCGTCAGAGTCCGACATTGCTGCCGCCCTCTTCCTCGTCCCAGCCTCCTTCTCCATGTTTGTGACTGGATCGTCCACACGATGAACCTCCACCACCACCTTCGTCTCAGCCTTCTGACGAGGGGTCACCACGTCCCCACCAGCACCAACAACCGCCTCCTGCTGCTCTACTGCCATGGACACGATCTCCGCACTGGCTGTCGGCACAGCCGGGGAGACCACATCCGTAGATGAGAACATGGTATGCAAAACAGACGCTATTGTCGCATCCAAGTCCTCCACTTCCACCGTCACCTGGTCCACCCCGGAAGCCTGCTGCACCACCGGCGATGCAGGCGACTCGAGAGACGACAGCTCCAGATTCAACACCACCACTGGCTCAGTCTCCTCACTCCAAAGCCGACCGTGCCCACCATCTCCTTTTCGTCCATGTATGGGAGCCTTCTGCCCATCGGCCGGCCGGCCTTCTGGCCTGCCCTCGCTGCCCACACTCTGCTGCCATATGATCATAGTCACCGCAGAGGCGGCACGTCCGTCATTGACCAGCATACGACACCATGACCTGTGTGCGGAAGTCATCTAGGTACACATACGATGGTATGGCCTGGCGTAGAGACATCTTAAGGGTAAACGAACCGTCTGGGAGACCAGCATACGCCCCAGCCACCCTATTGCCTTGTTTAGCCATGTGTACCACTCCGTATCTTCTGAAAACACTGTGGCGATCCGTTGCATCGGCCTCGAAGGGCACATTGCGCAGTTTCACCCACGTATATTGTCAAGAGACATCCACCATACGCACATGCACGTCAGGGGACACATCTACGCAGAGATCTTGGAATTGCTCAACCAGCTTCTCGTACACTGGCTTGTATAGTAGTTTCACAAATATCCGGCAGGCGCCATTTAATGCCACACCGTACAAATCCTTGTCCGCAATACCATAAGTGTCACGGATAATCTTAGGTAGCAAAACTTGTTCATTCTCAGGCGTAATCGCCCCCCGAACAAGCTGTATACCAACGGTATTCACCCGCCTCTTCACGCTGAATACCATGACGTCACTGGATAGCTTGTTAGACTGTCAGCAGAGAGGTATGAGGCACGTCCACACTCCCCAGCAGCTAGGTCGCGAATGTGTAATTATCAGAATGCCACCAAAAGGTTTACTTAAATCCATATTTTAGGAATTAAAGTATCTTTGTCTGGCAGTGAAAGTGTTACATGCAACCTTAATGACCTGAAGTGTAGTTTACAAGCTTTCAACACTTAATCTTGTTCAAGATGGGTGTCATGATGTTACTGAAGGACTCTTGATCCATGGTATTGGACCTGCCCTCCAGTTGGACTCAACCTGAATGCCTTCCATTTCCCCAGGCACTATATGCTTATGGGTTTAGTGCTTCATGTGAATGCTCCAACACCCCCTCAAGGGGGGTTCCTTGATGCTGGTGAGGGATCCTTGATCTAAGAGCCTTCCATTCCCCCCCCCCAGTGCTGTATGACCCATACAGTTTTAGTGCTTCCCCATGATTTATCATAATAATGCTGCAATGATAACAGCTCTTGATCTGAGGAATTTTGAGTTTTTTTTATTTAAATTTACACAAGCTATTCAAGACTAACAGTGCTGTATGACCCTAGTAGGTTTAGTATGTACGTGTACTTTGTTTTAGGACCATATGAAAGAAGCACTGCAGATGGCCTACTGGCCCATGCAAGGCAGGTCCAAGTCCCCTACCAGCCTAAGCCACTGGCCGAAGCTAGTCGGGTCTAAGCCACATCCATCCAAGAAGGAAGGAGCACTGCATCAGACCCATTAGCACAAGCTAGTCAGAGCCAACTCACCCACCCACACCCACTCATGTATTTATCTAACCTATTTTTAAAACTACACAAGGTCTTAGCTTTAATGACGCTACTTGAGAGTTTGTTCGACTCCTCTACAACTCTATTACCAAACCAGTGCTTTCCTATAACTTTTCTGAATAAATTTTGGCTTTGCATGCATTTACATTTCTACCATTAGTGTTATGTAGTAAATTTTGCGAATTGAAATGAGAACCCTGAATACTTTTAAATAGGCTGGACAGGTATGTAAGTGGGTTTGAAATCTATTAAAATTGCATATGTCTTCAGAACTATCAGTTGTCACCCAGAAACAGTAAATAATGAAATATTTTCTATTAGGGTCCCTATTGTTTTCAAGGGTCACATTAAAATAGTGCTACAGTAGGCCTGTGCAAGGCCGGTTCTTCATTTGTCTAATCTAATTTCAGAGCTACTCAAAGGTGCTTGCTCTGCTTTAATTAGATTATGTATTGTACTGATAAATTGCCTTGTGTAATAAAGGTGTTTGATTATTAGTAAATGACAGTATATGTATAGGAATTGTTACTCGTGGAAGAAGATGCAGGATGTACACATTATAGTTTCCAAGTTTTAATAAAGAGCTGTCTCATATTTTTGTTTATTCACAGCAAAATGGCGCCACGATATCAAATGGCTGTTGGCCTCAGCAAAGGTCATAAAGTCACCAAGAACACAAGAAAGCCAAAGCCCAGTTCCCGTAAAGGGGTAAGTGTATTTTGAGTGTGTGTATATATGTCACAGGTCTTGCTACTATAAAATGTACAGTAAATTTTACAATGCAGTTTTCTTGCATTAAAATAAAATTAGTAATAAAAATTTGTATAGTCCAGAAATCTTTATTTTACAGTGTAAATCTGTAAATAAAACTTAGACATTTTTGTCTACTTGCTGATAGCCAGCAGTACAGCACTAGTACAATTTGTTAAGGAAATGACTTATGATGTTCACATGTACTGTCCATGCAAGCACATGCATGCTACTGTGCATGTGTGCACACACTGGTCCATTTGGGCCACAGTACATCCCCAATTTACTATTATAATACATCCTGGAAATTCGTTTTATCAGTTGATTGGTATTTTTTTTTTTTTTTTTCTCAAGAATTTTTACCCATATTACCTTGAAAGTGCCTTTTCAGTTGTATAGGTAACAAAATAATTGTGCAATAAATATTAATAAAATGTTTTGCAATGCATTGTGCACAGTACATCCTTATCTTATAAGGACAGTTTTTTGTAAGGAAATAGTGAGGGAGGTGTTATGAGGAAGGAGGGAGTGGAGTGGTGGGACTGTGGGGGGGGGCATTCTATGGACCCAGAAACATAGCCAGGCCCATACACTTACCACTCCCTTGTTGGAGTTCATAGGCTTGAACCTGTAGCATTAACATTGTATGTGGTGCCAGCCAGCTTGCCCCTTCCATTCTGTGTTACAAGACACTGCACTAAACATTTCCCTCTTGTCAGTTGTGCTTTTCAGCTATTAACCCTTAAACTGTCCAAACGTAGATCTACTTTTTTCAGCATTTGAAAGTATGTATGTAAAAAAGTAGATCTTTTTTTTTTTTTTTTTTTACATTTGGGAAAACCCTGTAAAAAAAACTTTGATCTTACTTTTTATTTATATATATATATATATATAATATATATATATATATATATATATATATATATATATTATATATAAATATATATATATATATATATATATATATTTATATATATATATAAAATATATATATATATATATATATATTTATAATATATATATATTTAAAATATATATATATTTATATATATATATATATATATATATATTTATATTTATTTATTTATTTATTTATTTTATTTAGTGAAGGGATTCAGGGAAACCGGTTATTTTCTTATAGTCGGACTTGATCCTGGAAATGGGAAGTACAATGCCTGCACTTTAAAGGAGGGGTTTGGGATATTGGCAGTTTGGGGGATATGTTGTGTATCTTTATATGTGTATGCTTCTAGACTGTTGTATTCTGAGCACCTCTGCAAAAACAGTGATAAGTGTGAGTGTGGTGAAAGTGTTGAATGATGGTGAAAGTATTTTCTTTTTGGGGATTTTTTTTTTTGGGTCACCCTGCCTCGGTGGGAGACGGCCCGACTTGTTGAAAATAAATAAAAATATATATATATATATATATATATTTTATATATATATAATATATATATTATATATTTTATTTATTTATTTGAAAATATGTAAAAAACGTACATCTACTTTTGGAGCACTACGCATGTGAACATAAATTTGTTTGGAACGTTTAAGGGTTGAATTTGTGGTTCTTGGCCATCCAACTAAATAAAGATGAGCTATCTCTACATGCATAAAATTAACGTATACAGTGTGAATGCATTTGATAAAAAATAGAGAAAAAAATTTATCCTTGAATATGTATCATACACTGCCTTGTTAACAGGGAAGTCTGGACTGAGGGTGAAACTATTCGCAGCTGTGTTTTTGACATTTCAACCTGAGTGTTTTATTTTCTAAATACTGGTCTGGTTTAGTACAGAAAAAATGTAGAATGGTCACCCATTTTGCCTTTTTGAGTTTTATTTAATCAGTATTTTGTATGGCCATATTTTGGGGGGGGGGGATATTTGATATTTTTCACTTTGAATGAATGTCAGGCATTGCAAGGGCAAAAATGTTCTTAGTGTACAGTGTAAGTTTAATATGTATGCTTATGTATTTATTTTATTTCAGAAAATCACCAAACACAACAAGTTTGTGAGAGACATTGTCCGTGAGGTTATGGGCTTTGCTCCTTATGAGAAGCGTACTATTGAATTACTGAAGGTGTCGAAGGATAAGAGGGCCTTAAAGTTCCTAAAGAAACGGGTATGTTTATCCATCTTTCTTTCAGCTCTTTGATGTAGAAGTAATTTATAGTTAGGAAGTCCTATTTTTTTTTATTAACAGGGCAGCTGTGCTGTTTGGCGAGCTTTTAGGACGGTTTTAATGTCTAATTACCATTCTAACCCTTTGACTGTCGCAACCTCCAATCCTGAGGTCTCTCCTGGCGTCGCAAAAATTAAAAAAAAATATATTTTCTTATGAAATGATAGAGAATCTTTTCCCAATGGTAATGACACAAAAAGTACGAAATTTGATGGAAAACTTACGGAATTACACTCTCGCAAAGTTAGCGACCTCGGCGATATTTATTAATCGGCAATTTCGCCCACTTTGAGCCCTATTTTCAGCTAATTCTGTTGTTCCAGTAGACCACACACATAGCTATTTCTTTAAAACTCCATTTTTTTCTATCGATTGAGTACAAGAAACTGCTCATTTACCAATTTCAACTACCCATTAACATGGTCAGAAATTTGCAATTTGGCCAATTTCACAAAAATTTAAAAATATGACAATTTCAAAATAGGGTCCAGAATGAACAATGCAGACATTCCTGGCTCTAAAATAACATTTTCTTTGTTCATCAGTCATGTCTCCAGGCCCCTCTGATATTACTCTTGCTTTCTGTTTTGAATTTTTATTCAAACAAAAAATAGAAGATTTACTGTTATGCAGACTACTGCAATATTGCAATAATTGTATAAATGTCAACCCATTCATTACTGCATATTAGAATGGCTAGTTGGACATTTATTGGACATTAACATCATTTGTTTACTTTTGAACATTGGCAAAAATCAAACATTTCCCATACTTTGAGCTCCATTTCCAGGTTCTTTTTATAGTAAAACCAATCAAATCACCTCTATTTCTATAATATGTTTTCCCTTCTATCAAATGAGACCAAGAAAGCGAGAATACGTACAACCATGATTCCCCCCCCCCCCCCAACAAGTCGGCCGTCTCCCACCGAGGCAGGGTGACCCAAAGAGAAAGAAAATCCCCAAAAAGAAAATACTTTCATCATCATTCAACACTTCCACCTCACTCACACATAATCACTGTTTTTGCAGACGTGCCCAGAATACAACAGCTTAGAAGTATATACACAGTGGACCCCCGCATACCGTCAGCATCACATAACGTTTAATCCGCATACCGCTCGCTTTTATCGCAAAAATTTTGCCTCGCATACCGCTCAAAAACCCGCTCACCACTGTTCGTCCGAGACGCGTCCAATGTGCGCCCTTAGCCAGCCTCACATGTGCCGCTGGTGGCATTGTTTACCAGCCAGCCTCCGCGGTAACATCCAAGCATACAATCGGAACATTTCGTATTATTACAGTGTTTTTGGTGATTTTATCTGCAAAATAAGTGACCATGGGCCCCAAGAAAGCTTCTAGTGCCAACCCTATAGCAATAAGGGTGAGAATTACTATAGAGATGAAGAAAAAGATCATTGATAAGTATGAAAGTGGAGTGCGTGTCTCCGAGCTGGCCAGGTTGTATAATAAACCCCAATCAACCATTGCTACTATTGGTGGTACAGCTGCTGCTGCTGCTGCTGTACCACCATCAGCTGCTGCTGCTGCTGCACTGTCAGCTGCTGCTGCTACTGTACCACCGTCAACTGCTGCTGCTGCTACTGTACCACCGTCAGCTGCTGCTGCTACTGTACCACCGTCAGCTGCTGCTGCTACTGTACCACCGTCAGCTGCTGCTGCTACTGTACCACCGTCAGCTGCTGCTGCTACTGTACCACCGTCAGCTGCTGCTGCTACTGTACCACCATCAGCTGCTGCTGTAGTACCGTCTGCTGCTCCTGTAGCATCGTCTGCTGCTGCTGTAGCACTGTCAGCTGCTGCTGCTGTAGCACTGTCAGCTGCTGCTGCTGCTGTAGCACCGTTGTTGGTGTGGCTTATTGAGAATACCAAGAAACAATCAACCCCAGAGGATTTGCCACCCAGGATAACCCAAAAAAGTCAGTGTCATCGAAGACTGTCTAACTTATTTCCATTGGGGTCCTTAATCTTGTCTCCCAGGATGCAACCCACACCAGTCGACTAACACCCAGGTGAACAGGGAAAAATGCCTGGAACTAGTGCTCATATTGGTGAATTTAAAGCCAGCAAAGGTTGGTTTGAGAGATTTAAAAATCGTAGTGGCATACACAGTGTGATAAGGCCTGTTCTGGAAGAAAATGCCAAACAGGACCTACAGTACTCAGGAGGAAAAGGCACTCCCAGGACACAGTGTCTCATCAGTCATTGCTGCATCTTCAATAAAGGTAAGTGTCATTTATTCTTCATTTAGTAGAGTAGTACATACACAATATATATTGTGCATGTACTACTCTACTATTGTGCATGTATCCTTCTCTTTGTGTGTAGGAAAATGTATATTTCATGTGGTAAAAAAAAATTTTCATACTTTTGGGTGTCTTGCACGGATTAATTTGATTTCCATTATTTCTTATGGAGAAAATTCATTCGCATACCTATCATTTCGCATAACAATGAGCCCTCTTGCATGGATTAAAGTCGCTATGCGGGGGTCCACTGTACGTATAAAAATACACAGTATATCTCTCCAAACTGCCAATATCCCAAACCCCCTCCTTTAGAGTGCAGGCATTGTACTTCCCATTTCCAGGACTTGAGTCCAGTTATATAAAATAACCGGTTTCCCTGAATCCCTTCACTAAATATTACCCTGCTCACACTCCAACAGATCGTCAGGTCCCAAATGCCATTTGTCTCCATTCACTCCTATCTAACACGCTTACGCACACTTGCTGGAAGTCCAAACCCCTCACCCACAACACCTTTACCCCCCTCCCTCCAACCTTTTCGAGGACGACCCCTACCCTTACTTCCTTTCCCTACAGATTTATACTCTCCATGTCATTCTACTTTGATCCATTCTCTCTAAATGACCAAACCACCTCTTCAGCCCTCTGACTAATACTTTTATTAACTCCACACCTTCTCCTAATTTCCACACTCTGAATTTTCTGCATAATATTTACACCACACATTGCTCTTAGACAGGACATCTCCACTGCCTCCAACTGCCTCCTTGGCTACAACCCAAGCTTCACGCCCATATAAGAGTGTTGGTACTACTATACTTTCATACATTCCCTTCTTTGCCTCCATAGATAACATTTTTTGCCTCCATATATAACATTTTTTTGCCTCCACATATACCTAGGTTTAAAAATGTAGTGTTAGAGTGTTCAGCAGAAGTTTGTGGTTACAGGAAAGTGGGTGCGGGAGGGAAGAGGAGCGATTGATGGAATGATGATGTAAAGAGAGTAGTAAGGGAGAAAAAGTTAGCATATGTGAAGTTTTTACAAAGTATAAGTGATGCAAGGAGGGAAGAGTATATGGAGAAAAAGAGAGAGGTTGAGAGTGGTGAAGCAATGTAAAAAGAGAGCAAATGAGAGAGTGGGTGAGATGTTATCAACAAATTTTGTTGAAAATAAGAAAAAGTTTTGGAGTGAGATTAACAAGTTAAGGAAGCCTAGAGAACAAATGGATTTGTCAGTTAAAAATAGGAGAGGAGAGTTATTAAATGGAGAGTTAGAGGTATTGTGAAGATGGCGGGAATATTTTGAGGAATTGTTAAATGTTGCTGAAGATAGGGAAGCTGTGATTTTGTGTATAGGGCAAGGAGGAATAACATCATGTAGGAGTGAGGAAGAGCCAGTTGTGAGTGTGTGGGAAGTTCGTGAGGCAGTAGGTAAAATGAAAGGGGGTAAGGCAGCCAGGATTGATGGGATAAAGATAGAAATGTTAAAAGCAGGTGGGGATATAGTTTTGGAGTGGTTGGTGCAATTATTTAATAAATGTATGGAAGAGGGTAAGGTACCTAGGGATTGGCAGAGAGCATGCATAGTTCCTTTGTATAAAGGCAAAGGGGACAAAAGAGAGTGCAAAAATTATAGGGGGATTAGTCTGTTGAGTATACCTGGTAAAGTGTATGGTAGTTATTATTGAAAGAATTAAAAGTAAGACGGAGAATAGGATAGCAGATGAACAAGGAGGCTTTATGAAAGGTAGGGGGTGTGTGGACCAGGTGTTTACAGTGAAACATATAAGTGAATAGTATTTAGATAAGGCTAAAGAGGTCTTTGTGGCATTTATGGATTTGGAAAAGGCGTATGACAGGGTGGATAGGGGGGCAATGTGGCAGATGTTGCAGGTGTATGGTGTTGGAGGTAGGTTACTGAAAGCAGTGAAGAGTTTTTACGAGGATAGTGAGGCTCAAGTTAGAGTATGTAGGAAAGAGGGAAATTATTTCCCAATAAAAGTAGGCCTTAGACAAGGATGTGTGATGTCACCGTGGTTGTTTAATATATTTATAGATGGGGTTGTAAGAGAAGTAAATGCGAGGGTCTTGGCAAGAGGCGTGGAGTTAAAAGATAAAGAATCACACATAAAGTGGGAGTTGTCACAGTTGCTCTTTGCTCATGACACTGCTCTTGGGAGATTCTGAAGAGAAGTTGCAGAGATTGGTGGATGAATTTGGTAGGGTGTGCAAAAGAAGAAAATTAAAAGTGAATACAGGAAAGAGTAAGGTTATGAGGATAACAAAAATATTAGGTGATGAAAGATTGGATATCAGATTGGAGGGAGAGAGTATGGAGGAGGTAAATGTATTCAGATATTTGGGAGTGGACATGTCAGTGGATGGGTCTATGAAAGATGAAGTGAAACATAGAATTGATGAGGGGAAAAGGGTGAGTGGTGCACTTCGGAGTCTGTGGAGACAAAGAACTTTGTCCTTGGAGGCAAAGAGGGGAATGTATGAGAGTATAGTTTTACCAACGCTCTTATATGGGTGTGAAGCATGGGTGATGAATGTTGCAGCGAGGAGAAGGCTGGAGGCAGTGGAGATGTCATGTCTGAGGGCAATGTGTGGTGTGAATATAATGCAGAGAATTCGTAGTTTGGAAGTTAGGAGGAGGTGCAGGATTACCAAAACTGTTGTCCAGAGGGCTGAGGAAGGGTTGTTGAGGTGGTTCGGGCATGTAGAGAGAATGGAGCGAAACAGAATGACTTCAAGAGTGTATCCGTCTGTAGTGGAAGGAAGGCGGGGTAGGGGTCGGCCTAGGAAAGGTTGGAGGGAAGGGGTAAAGGAGGTTTTGTGTGCGAGGAGCTTGGACTTCCAGCAGGCATGCGTGAGCGTGTTTGATCGGAGTGAATGGAGACAAATGGTTTAATACTTGACGTGCTGTTGAAGTGTGAGCAAAGTAACATTTATGAAGGGGTTCAGGGAAACCGGCAAGCCGGACTTGAGTCCTGGAGATGGGAAGTACAGTGCCTGCACTCTGAAGGAGGGGTGTTAATGTTGCAGTTTAAAAACTGACGTGTAAAGCACCCTTCTGGCAAGACAGCGATGGAGTGAATGATGGTGAAAGTTTTTCTTTTTCGGGCCACCCTGCCTTGGTGGGAATCGGCCAGTGTGATAATAAAATATACCTCAATGCACCACTCGCCTTTTTTCCTTCATCAGTTCTGTGATTAACCTCATCCTTCATAAATCCGTCCGCTGACACGTCAACTCCCAAATATCTGAAAACATTCACTTCTTCCATACTACTCCTCCCCAATTTGATATCCAATTTTTTTTATCTAAATCATTTGATACTCTCATCACCTTACTCTTTTCTATGTTCAATTTCAACTTTCTACCTTTACACACATTCCCAAATTCATCCACTAACCTTTGCAATTTTTCTTTAGAATCTCACAACCATGAATACTATACGAAAATGGACCACAAAGTCGGCATTTTAATTAAAAAAAAAGTTTTGAGTATATATACGTCAAACACAGTGGCTCGTAAGACATATAGTATATACGACCGAAGCAGTCAAAGGCTTAAAGGATTAATTTTTTTACTTGATTTGTTGATGAGTTTGGGTACTTAACATTTGCAAGGTTTTTATAGCTTTACATTTCTAGATTTGTGAGTGATAGTACATACCTTTTTTTCTCTCTCTCTTCCTCTTGTACAAAACCCTTCCTACCATCCCCTTCTTCCCTGCCTTCCTAACCTACCAACCCCCCACCTTTTTCTCCCTACACCCTCGCATGCTAATCCTTTCCTTTCTCCAAGCATATCTTTGGTTTTCAAATCTTCCTCCACACAGGAATCTTTATTTGCAAGTATGCTACAGTTTAGGGGTCTGGTTGTTGATGCAGAATTTGACCCTCTTTCAACTGGAAATAATAATAATAGACAATTTTGTCAAAAAACCCGTCTCCTGTATATATTACTAAATGTAAAAGGAGAAACGTTCGTTTTCCCTTTTGGGCCACCCCACCTCGGTGGGATACAGCCATTGTGTCAAAAGAAGAAGAATTTTGTCAAATAAATATAGTACACACATTTACCCATGGTGATGTGGTAATGGAGTATCTTTTACTCTTTGTTTGATGTGTCATTTTACTAACCATGTTACATATTACAACCATTCCTTTGTGTGCCTTGTGCAATTCTAATAATTGTGATTAAAGTTTAACTATCTCTGTGAAGAGGTACGTGATAGTCCCCCAGTCCACTTAATTCTGTCATTGGCACTACTTGTATATAATTCAAGTGTAGAATAAATTAGAATGTGCGAACATGAAAATTGTGTTTAATGACTAAAAATTTTTGGAAATTTCAATTATGTGGATACACACTATATAATGCATTATTCGTGAATTAAAAGTTTGTGAGGTCTTTGTGTGTGTGGTCCTTTTAACTTTGAATTCTCAACCATACTTCATATGTCTAAAACTTAATTGAAAGGAAGTGAGAATAAGAATGGGTGATGTGAAGGTCAAAAGTGAGGAAGAGGAAATGACAGGAATGTGCTTGTTAAGGAAGAGAGGTTTGATAGTAACTTGTGTGAGATTTATATGTTTGTTGCATGTGCATTATGTGCTGAAAAAAAATAATTGAAGAATGGACTAAAAATGAGAATGGTATGATGTGACTTAATAGCAATGTTGGAATAGACTTTGAAAATTATGTATATTATAGTATAGTACTGGGTATGTATTTCTCCTTGGAAATTGTTGATCCTAGACTATACATTTAAATTAAAAGAATCTATCAAATACATCTTTTACGGTCATGGTATACAAAATTTGATTTAGAAGTGATATTTAAGCATGTATAGTCCCTTTATATAAAGGGAAAGGGGACAAGAGAGACTGTAAAAATTATAGAGGAATAAGTTTACTGAGTATACCAGGAAAAGTGTACAGTAGGGTTATAATTGAAAGAATTAGAGGTAAGACAGAATGTAGGATTGCAGATGAGCAAGAAGGTTTCAGAGTGGGTAGGGGATGTGTAGATCAAGTGTTTACATTGAAGCATATATGTGAACAGTATTTAGATAAAGGTAGGGAAGTTTTTATTGCATTTATGGATTTAGAAAAGGCATATGATAGAGTGGATAGAGGAGCAATGTGGCAGATGTTGCAAGTATATGGAATAGGTGGTAAGTTATTAAATGCTGTAAAGAGTTTTTATGAGGATAGTGAGGCTCAGGTTAGGGTGTGTAGAAGAGAGGGGGACTACTTCCCGGTAAAAGTAGGTCTTAGACAGAGATGTGTAATGTCACCATGGTTGTTTAATATATTTATAGATGGGGTTGTAAAGGAAGTAAATGCTAGGGTGTTCGGGAGAGGGGTGGGATTAAATTTTGGGGAATCAAATTCAAAATGGGAATTGACAGTTACTTTTTGTTGATGATACTGTGCTTATGAGAGATTCTAAAGAAAAATTGCAAAGGTTAGTGGATGAGTTTGGGAATGTGTGTAAAGGTAGAAAGTTGAAAGTGAACATAGAAAAGAGTAAGGCGATGAGGGTATCAAATGATTTAGATAAAGAAAAATTGGATATCAAGTTGAGGAGGAGTATGGAAGAAGTGAATGTTTTCAGATACTTGGGAGTTGACATGTCGGCGGATGGATTTATGAAGGATGAGGTTAATCATAGAATTGATGAGGGAAAAAAGGTGAGTGGTGCGTTGAGGTATATGTGGAGTCAAAAAATGTTATCTATGGAGGCAAAGAAGGGAATGTATGAAAGTATAGTAGTACCAACACTCTCATATGGGTGTGAAGCTTGGGTGGTAAATGCAGCAGCGAGGAGATGGTTGGAGGCAGTGGAGATGTCCTGTTTAAGGGCAATGTCTGGTGTAAATATTGTGCAGAAAATTCGGTGTGGAAATTAGGAAAAGGTGTGGAGTTAATAAAAGTATTAGTCAGAGGGCAGAAGAGGGGTTGTTGAGGTGGTTTGGTCATTTAGAGAGAATGGATCAAAGTAGAATGACATGGAAAGCATATAAATCTATAGGGGAAGGAAGGCGGTGTAGGGGTCGTCCTCGAAAGGGTTGGAGAGAGGGGGTAAAGGAGGTTTTGTGGGCAAGGGGCTTGGACTTACAGCAAGTGTGCATGAGCGTGTTAGATAGGAGTGAATGGAGACGAATGGTACTTGGGACCTGACGATATGTTGGAGTGTGAGCAGGGTAATATTTAGTGAAGGGATTCAGGGAAATCAGTTATTTTCATATAGTCAGACTTGAGTCCTGGAAATGGGAAGTACAATGCCTGCACTTTAAAGGAGGGGTTTGGGATATTGGCAGTTTGGAGGGATATGTTGTGTATCTTTATATGTGTATGCTTCTAAACTGTTGTATTCTGAGCTCCTCTGCAAAAACAGTGATAATGTGTGAGTGGTGAAAGTGTTGAATGATGATGAAAGTATTTTCTTATTGGGGATTTTCTTTCTTGTTTGGGTCACCCTGCCTCGGTGGGAGACGACCGACTTGTTGAAAAAAAAAAATTTAAGCAATAGATAAATTAATCTTATTTTTCCCGTTTTTATTTGCCTTGCAGTTGGGCACACACATTCGTGCAAAGAGGAAGCGTGAGGAAATGCAGCGTGTAATGGGCCAACAAAGGAAGGCTACTGCAGCTGCCGCTGCTGCTGCAGCTGCTGCCGCTGCTGCTGCTGCCGCTGCAGCCCACAAGTAAATTGCTATTTAATAAATTTTAAAAATACTTGTTTATTTTTTTTACCTGTCCTAACAGTAAACTATTTGCCTATTGTAATTTTGCAAATTGTGGTTCCTAGATTTTGTGAGGATGAAAGTAACATGTGATTTAATGCAGTGCTTATCATTAACATACATGATCTCTAAAATCAGTTACAAAATAAGTCATTCCTTGCACTCTAGGACATCCTTCAACCATCTATAAAGTGATTGACGCATTCTTCAAATTTTCGTGGGGTAAATTATTCTACAACTCATGTGTGGCATCCTTTCCTTAGTAACTTTATCTCAGCTCAGAGGTTTGAAGACATTAACCCTCAACCCGTAAACAGTCCAAACGTATATATACGGTTTTTCAACATTTGAAAGTATGTAAAATAAAGTAGATCTTTTTGTTTTTTTACATTTGAAAATGTGTAAAAAAAACTTTGATCTATTTTTTTTTTTTTTTTTTTTTTTTTTTTATGTAAAAAAAAGTAGATCTACTTTTGTAGCACTACACATGTGAATGTAGATCTGCTTGGACCGTTTACGGGTTAAATGGTCCAAACGTATATACGTGTATACGCTTTTTCAACATCTGAAAGTATGTAAAAAAATGTAGATCTCTCTTGTTTTACATTTGAAAACGTGTAAAAAACTTTTATCTAATTTTTTTTTTTATTGAAAATATGTAAAAAAAATAATAGATCTACTTTTGTAGCACTACGAATTTGAACGTCGATCTGTTTGGACCGTTTAAGGGTTAAAGGGCAGAGTGGTAAGGATCACTGTTTTGCATGACCTTGCACCTAGACCGATTCTAGGTATGTTAATGGGGACATTTTACTAGGGTTCCTTGGATGTGCTCTTGATATGGACATCTCATGAACACTGTCCTTATGGAACCAACGCTATCAGGTCAAATATCAAAATGTTATATAATACCGACAGGTTGGAAAGAGACATGGGCAACAGTTAGGCATCTTTATTCCGAAATGTTTCGCCTACACAGTAGGCTTCTTCAGTCGAGTACAGAAAGTAGGCACGAGCAGTAGAGATGTGAAGACAATGTAATCAGCTCATCACCCTTGAAGATGTAGATTTGAGGTTGTCAGTCCTTCAGCCTGGAGAAGAATTCTGTTTCATAGTCTGAAACAGTGTGGAGACTTATATACTGCCGACAGTATATAAGTCTCCACACTGTCGCTTGTTCTTCACATTGGAGTAGTCATAAATTCTGCACATGTGCAAAAATATGGCAGGCTATCATCTGCTATCAGCTATCACTTCCATATATCAGCACAAAATAGCATTGCATGACCCTTGTTGGTTTAGTGCTTTCTTTGATTATAATAATTACAAAATAACATGTTTTACCTGACGAGACAGTTTATTAAATGTGTCCAGAGTAATACCAACCATAATATAAATGTAAGCTATCCAAGAAAACATGAAAAATATATCACAAGAAAAGCTTCTTCAGGGCTATCAGTATGTGTTCATGTTATTGTTGGGTTGAAGGCTGTGACGGCCCCAGGGCCGTTGTATTTCACTGCCGTGAAATTAACTACCAGAATGCTTTTGCAAATATAAACTATTTATTACAATAAAAAATATAATAAAATTATTATTTCCCTTGTATTTTCAACAGTAAAAATATCAGTATAAGGAAGGGAGGGTTGGATGTCACCAGCTGTTAACCCTTAACACCAACACAAACCCTGTCACATATCCTAATCATAATAATAATTTTGATTTCTGCAAGTACATGTACAAGGTATACAGGCCTAGCTGATATCAATGACACTACTACAGTGGACCCCCGGTTAACGATATTTTTTCATTCCAGAAGTATGTTCAGGTGCCAGTACTGACCGAATTTTGTTCCCATAAGGAATATTGTGAAGTAGATTAGTCCATTTCAGACCCCCAAACATACACGTACAAACGCACTTACATAAATACACTTACATAATTGGTCGCATTGGGAGGTGATCATTAAGCGGGGGTCCACTTGTATATAGAAATACCCTTGTTATGCAGAGATTTTGGGAAATTAGGTCAATTTTGTCCCAAGATGCAACCCACACCAGTCGACTAACACCCAGGTACCCATTTTATTGATGCGTGAACAGGGACAACAAGTGTAAGGAAACACTCCCAATGTTTCCACCTTTGCCGGGAATCGAACCACGGACCCTCAGCATGTGAAGCGAGAGCTTTGCCTACCAGGCCACGGGCCACTAGTGTGACCTGGTAGGCAAAATATATATGAAGTAGGTAATGTATACACACTACATCCCGATTCCTTTTATTTTTTTAACCTTTATTATATGCAAAGGAAGATAAAGGGTATATAAACACAGTCCTTCATGGACCAGTGCAGTTTGTGTCTGCTCTCTGTCTGTATATAAACATTGTCTCCAGTAAGCTCACATTAATTATATATATAATGAATATAATCATAATCATATTTTAAAGAGGTGAACTGGTAAGCCAGCAGGTCTGTCAGATGACCCAAAGCTCTAGCTGCAGGTTCCCATATGATCAAGACCCGCATCAGGAAACACCGTGTTTCCTGACAAACCTACCTAAGCTCACATTTGAGCACAGCAAGTACCGTATTTCATGACTTATTAGACACACTTTTTTTTTCCATAAAATGTCTCCAAAAACCACCCTGCATCATATAAACTGAAGGTCAGTGACGGGAGCTATAAGTTTGGGATGGGGTGGGCTGGGCTGTAGCGCTCCCAGTTACGTCTGATGCCTAGCCATTGAAACTAAAACGTCTTCCGAGCCGCGAAATACGGTAAGTTTGTTTAAGCACAGGTACACGAGTACAATTATCATAGTGAATTACCTAGGATAACCTAAAACAAGTCAGACGAAGTGACATATTGCATGTATTGACTGGTATGCAGGAATAGACTAACTAAATCACACAGATCTGAGAATCGAATAGGACACGTATGCATGGACCAACGATAGGTGGGACGGGGAAGCTAGGCCTCCCCCCACAAAGAATGGACAGTCCCACAGACAGGCTGCCCATGAGTCCACTAGATGGAAGGGAAAAATCCTGCAGTCCAGCTCGTGGTGCTCCAAATTTTTTTTTTTTCCCCAGAGATGACACTGCATTAGTTGAATTTTACGGTGTTAGTCGAAAACCTACCACAATTTTGAAATAGTGTAATGGAGACATGGTGAAGGAACACATGTTAACCGATGGTCCATTGTATATAAGTGGATTATGCTTGCTGAGGGGCTCTTGATCCAAGGAACTGAATTTATGCTCAGTTTGCTTGAATCGAATATGAATGCCACATGCTATTAGGTGTTCCATGACCCTTATGGGTTTAGCGCTTTCCCCTTGTTAAAATAAAATTCTATCGTCAGCAATCTAATAGGTGAGCCATTGTATCCAGTAAAAAAAAATTGGGGGGGGGGGTATAGGCTGTGTAGATGTGAACTTTGTTGGATTTTGTGCTGTAACTGAGGAATGCATTCTATGATTGTCGTCAAACTTTTAGTGCTGATTATTTCCTCAATGGAAGTTTTAGACTTCCCTTGGCGGAGTTCATAGGTCTGACCCTACATCATTACAAGAACTGGAGAATGTCTCGTATCAGAATGTCAGTGTGTTTGACTTTATTGAGCTAGCCTAGGTTAAATCTACATAAGTATAATGTGCCTATAACATTTGTTCCCTGAACACAATTGTAAATAATTGGTATGTTATGTACACAAAACTTAGCGAAAAGTTTGAGTTGATTTTAACCCATGGAGGATCCAATTTGCCTTGTTTAACCCTTTCAGGGTCCAAGGCCCAAATCTGGAGTCACGCACCAGTGTCCAAGAATTTTCAAAAAAAAAAATTATTTTTTCTTGTGAAGTCGTAGAGAATCTTTTTGTGAAGGTAATAAAACAAAAAGTACGAAATTTGGTGGAAAATTGACGAAATTATGCTCTCGCGAATTTTGATGTGTCAGCGATATTTACGAATCGGCGATTTTGCCGACTTTGACTCCCATTTTAGGCCAATTACATTATTCCAATCAACCAAATTCTTAGCTATTTCACTAGTATTACTTCTATTCTATCGATTGAGCACAAGAAATTGCCAAGTCAACTGTTTCAACTACAAAATAAAGTGATCGGAAATTGTTAATTTGGCCAATTTAACAAAAAGTTCAAAATATTCCAATTTCAAAATAGGGTCCAGAATGAACAATGTAGGCATTCCTGGCACTAAACTAACATTTCCTCTGTTCATTAGTTATGTTTTGAGGCTTTACAAATAAATTCCATTTTGATTTTTTATTCACATAATGAATTTTTATTCACACCAAAAAATAGAAGATTTACTGTTATGCAATACTGTAATAATTGTATAAATATCATCACCACATTTGTGAATGTGTATTAGATCCACCAGCTGGCATGTATTAGACGTGTGAGGTCATTTATTTACTCTTGAATATCGGCAAAAATTTAACATTTCCGCTACTTTGAGCTCAGTTTCAAGCCATTTCCAATGCTAAAACCAATCAAAATCATCTCTATTTCTGTAATATGTCTTCCATTCTATCAAATGAGACCAAGAAATCGCAAATACAACTATAAAAAACATACGAAAAAACACTGCAAAGTTGCTGTTTTAATCGAAAAATCATGATTTCATTTTTTTTCTCTCATTATACACAGTGTGCTGCAGGATCTGTTTTATGTGGTGCACACATACCACATAGATGTATTCTCTCATATCTAGGCCCAAATGTACCACTCACAGTTTATCAGAGTGAGCTGAGCTCATGGCGTAGATCTACGGTTTGGACCCTGAACGTAAAGCCGTAGATCTACGGGACGGACCCTGAAAGGGTTAATGAACAATTTGGGAAAATTTAAGTACTTTTTTATGTGGTAATTTGTTAGTGCCTTATCAGATTAGCTTCAACCCTTCAATGCTGATAACCAGATAATGTAATTTATGAGTGGCCTCAGCCTTAATATTAGTGTTGGTGTATTTTAGGATGTTAGTCTGAGATAAGAGAAAACATCAGTTTACTTTCAAAGCTGTTGTTTCTTAGTGAAAAGTTTGTACAGTCGACCCTCAACTAACGGCGGCATTAAGTAACGGCAATTTCTCTAATGGCGCTTTTTGCCTTAACCAATGGCGAAAAACTTAACCAACAACGTTCGTCTGGAACATGTCCCCAGGCACTCCAAGGCTCAGTGTGCCATTGTTTACAAGCTATTGCGGTCGGTTTCCACGTGTGCCTCCCATACATTTTGGATTATTCCACTGTTTCTAGTGCTTGTAACTGCTAAATAAGCCACCATGGGCCTCAAGAAAGCTTCTAGAGCCAGCCCTTTGGTAAAGGATGTGGGAATCACAATAGAATTCAAGAAAAAAAGTTTGTAGAAAAATACGAAAGTGATGGTGGTAGAGGGTGGTTGTGATGGTGGTAGAGGGTGGTACTGGTTGTGATGGTGGTAGAGGGATGGTACTGGTTGTGATGGTGGTAGAGGGTGGTACTGGTGTGAGTGGTAGAGGGTGGTACTGGTTGTGATGGGGTAGAGGTGGTACTGGTTGTGATGGTGGTAGAGGATGGTACTGGTTGTGATGGTGAGAGGGTGGTACTGGTTGTGATGGTAGAGGGTGGTACTGGTTGTGATGGTAGGTAGGGTGTACTGTTGTGATGGTGGTAGAGGGTGGTACTGGTTGTGATGGTGGTAGAGGGTGGTACTGGTTGTGATGGTGGTAGAGGGTGGTACTGGTTGTGATGGTGGTAGAGGGTGGTACTGGTTGTGATGGTGGTGGAGGGTGGTGCGTTGTGATGGTGGTAGAGGTGGTGCTGGTTGTGATGGTGGTAGAAGTGGTACTGGTTGTGATGGTGGTAGAGGGTGGTACTGGTTGTGATGGTGGTAGAGGATGGTACTGGTTGTGATGGTGGTAGAGGATGGTACTGGTTGTGATGGTGGTAGAGGGTGGTCCGGTTGTGATGGTGGTGAGGGTGGTACTGGTTGTGATGGTGGTAGAGGGTGGTACTGGTTGTGATGGTGGTAGAGGGTGGTACTGGTTGTGATGGTGGTAGAGGGTGGTGCTGGTTGTGATGGTGGTAGAGGGTGGTCTGGTTGTGAGTGGTAGAGGGTGGTCGTTTGTGATGGTGGTAGAGGGTGGTACTGGTTGTGATGGTGGTAAGAGGGTGGTACTGGTTGTGATGGTGGTAGAGGATGGTACTGGTTGTGATGGTGGTAGGGTGGTACTGGTTGTGATGGTGGTAGAGGGTGGTAGCTGGTGTGAGGGGTGCGGTTGTGATGGTGGTAGTGGAGTGTGGTCGGTAGATGTGATGGTGGTAGAGGGTGGTGCCGGTTGTGATGGTGGTAGAGGGTGGTCGGTTGTGATGGTGGTAGAGGGTGGTCCTGGTTGTGTGGTGGTAGAGGGTGGTACTGGTTGGGATGGTGGTAGAGGGTGGTACTGGTTGTGATGGTGGTAGAGGGTGGTACTGTTGTGGATGGTGATGGTAGAGGGTGATCCAGTTGGATGTGTACTGGTTGTGATGGTAAAATAACCAGAGGGTGGTAACCCCATAGGATGTGGTACTGAAGTCTTTATTGGAAGGGGTTTTTATGTCCAAGCAATAGACAATCCATGAATCTCCACTGCTGTGGCAATCACTCATCAACAACTCTACAAAATGGTAAGCGGAATTTTAAATATTGATTTATTTTGCATGTTCACCATATCCTTTCCATATAAGGAAATGTATATTTCATGTAAAAAAAAAAATTCAGACTTTGGGATGTCAGGCATGGATTAATTCTATTTCCATTATTTCTTATGGGAAAAATTAACTCGACCAACGGCAAGCCCTCTGGAACGGATTAATGCCATTGGTTGAGGGTCCACTGTATTAGTTTTGAGCTGTGTGTCCTAATTTGCCTTTTTTTTTTTTTTTTTTTAAGAAATTGCAATACTAGTTTCCACGTAATTACCTGTGAATGTCTCTTCAGGTGGTTTCAAATATACGGCATTAATGTTTAGCTGTGTTAGAAGCTCATGCTGCCCTGAACAGTTTCTACTGTTGGGCTGGGGTTATGTAATATGAGGATACCTTTCTCATATTATGCAATGACCGAAATAGTACAAAGTTTTTTCGTGTGTGAGACCACCCCAGTGCATAGATCCCCAAGAATATGCCTCTAAAATACCGATATTGTACACTATTCTGTTTCGTATTCCTCGGTCGATGGCAGCTTTTGCACCTTATTGCCCATGGCTGAACGAACTAAGACTTTATAGGCTTTATTGTACAGCTGTTTACAGGGCAGCACCAAGATGAAACCAACTAACTGAAACACGATGGGTACACAGATCAAGATCCACTCCACTGGGACATAGTGATGCTGGATGCCATATAACACAGAGAGGCACAAGAAAAGGAAACTGGTGAGTCCCATCCTTAAAATGTTCTCTGATACTGCAAAGGTCTCTGTTATGCTGATAATGAAGCGCCACATATGTTACTTAAAGGGTTATTGTTATGTTTCTTCCACGTTCACTGTCCACCACACGAAGTTGATGAGGATGATGATCACCAGACAGAGGACAGCAAGCCATAACATGTAGGCAGACGCCATTAGAGATAAAGTGATGGCACGACCACCTGGGATTGGACAAGCGAGAGATTAATTATTGAAGATGCGGAAAAATGGTCAAAAGCATTGTGTATGCAATATTGTGATAAGTCACTGTTAAATTCCAAGAATATATGTAAATGACCTATTTACTTCCCTCAAGGAAGGTTCCTTGATGGTGGTTAAGGGCTTTTGATCTAGGGAACTGGATCTGTGCTTCAGTTCCCTGAAGCCTAAATACCTTCCATGCCCGCCCCCCAACAGGAGCTGTATAATCCCTATGGGTTTAGCGCTCCCCATGATTAATACAGGTTTAGTGCTCCCCCATGAATGTAATAATTATGACCTATTTAAGTAGTATTTTTACTAGGCCATCGAATATTTGACAAAAGTGTTCGTTTAGATAAGGTACTTTCAAAGGGGAAGGCTTAGCACTTCTTTTTTATTATAATAATAATTCAAAGGGGAAGGGGGAAGTGCCTTGAGGCTGATGAATGGCTCTTGATCTGAGGAATTGGAGCTACTCTTCTTGAGATCAAGCCTGATTGCCTCCCATTTCCCAGGCATTATGTGACACCTCTTCAAGGGGGGCTCCTTGCTGTGGTGAAGAGGCTCTTGGTCTGAGGAATTAGACCTGTCGGTCTCCTTCCTCAGACCGAACCTAATTACCCCCCAATCCCCCCTCCCTATCCCATCCTCCCCTTTTTCCTTTCCTCCTCCTCCTCCTCCCCACCCCTCCCTTTTGCCCTTCCTCTTTTTGGCCTTCGAGATTTCTCCCACAGGCTCGCTAGTTCCTAGGTAGGGGAAAGGATACCGGGGTCCATCCCATTCCATTGAGATTCTTGGTGGTGGCGTAGTTTGCCGTGGAATCTGGATCGCCTGGGGATGTCCCAATCCCTCTCCGGTATCCCGGAGTAGCTTTGGGTGTCTTTCGGGCGACAGGTGTATCTCTGGAAGCAACCTTTCGGATTCCGGGGGCGGTGGCCGAAGGAGGTATGCTTTGTGGCAGATATCCGGCGCCCTCTCTTTGGTCCACCGAGGTAGCTCGGCAGATGTGAGGTTGCTATCCCGGATTGCTGGTTTACTGGCATGAAGGGTAGGGTATGGCACGGGTTCCATGCTGCATCTGCACTACTAGCGGTGCTGAGGTCCCCTTGGGCGCGGAGGGAGAATTCCAGCCCTTTCATTCCTCCTGAAAACTATTGCTCCCCGCTCCCCCCTTTTTTTTATTCTTTTTTTTTCTTTTTTTATTCTTTTTTTTTTTTTCTTAAAAACGAAAAGCAAAGGAGTAACCTAACCATGGAGAACCCAATCCATGGACCCACTACCCCCGGGCCCCTTTTTGATACCACACCCCATTCTGACCCTGCCTTGTTTTTAGACCACTCTTTGGGCCTCCTGATGC